GGCAAAATTACCATTAGTTAAACTTATATATAAAGTTCTTTTTTTGCTGCAACATTATATTTTTTTTCCTTTTCCATTACATCCTTAATGCTCCCAATTTCTTTGCCCAGATACCTCCCCCCATACATATACACACCAAGAACTCAAACACTAAACACAAAAGTCAATCCTTTGATCAAGCCAAACCTTGTAATTATGGAATAAAAATGTTATTTAGTAGAAAGGCAATAAGACGTAAGAGGAAAGAGCATGGAGTTTTTCAGACCTGGGTTTAAATTATAACCTTGGACAAAATCTTACTCTCTTTGAACTCGCTCTCTTCACCTTTAAATGGAAATAATAATATTCACCTTTTCGGGCAATCGTGAGAATTGAATGAGCTCAGAACATGACAAACATTCAAAAGTGCTAATTTTCTTCCTCTCATCAACACTTAGTATCTTTAATAATTTTAATCTAATGGTTCTCAAACTTAGATCTCAGGACTCTCTTACACTCTTAAAAATTAAGACCTCCCTCGAGAGCTTTAGACTGTGTAGGTTATATCTATCAATATCCAGCACGTTAGAAAACAAATATTAAAAAATCATTAGTTATTAATTTATTTGATAATTACAATAAGAAATGCACTGTATATTACTATAACACATCTTTTTAAAAAACTGTTTTTTCTAAGACAAAAAGATTAGCCTTGTTTTTACATTTTTAAAAATCTCTTAACATCTGGTTTAATAAAAGACAATTGGATTCTTATACCTGCTTCTGCATTTGATCTGTTGAGATACTTTGTTTTGCTTAAATTCCATGAGGAAAGTCAAACATCACATATATAGTTAGAAAAGAGAGACACATTTAACAGCTTTTTCTCATGACTGTGGGTATTCTTCTTTGATACTACATTCAAACTAAACAAAAGATAAAAGTTAGTTTCAATATGGAATCTGAAACAATGTCAATGAACTTTTCATATTCTGTCATGTTAAAAGCCATTGGTCTGTCTTGCACTTTGAATGGCTTTTACTAATGTGTGTGATTTTGTAATAAAATGCTTTGATCCTTTGAAAACCATTGCTTCACTGAGTTAGGCAGATCTTCCCAACTTCATGATACAATGTCAAAAGTATCCCATTTGTTAATATCATCATCAAGATCATCAGATATTTCTTAATACATTGGGTAGCTATTAATCTCATAGGTGGCAGATGAAAGTTTTCCAAAATTCTAATTTTCAAACTACCTCAAATTTTATCTGTGGCAACAAATACCAACGGTTGTTTTCCTTGAAGTAACACCTCACTTTTCTCATTTTTAAGAACATGTCTGCCAAATATCTAAGTTGGATTAATAGTGTGTCAAGCATCTTTCAGGTGAAGATAGTATTCCGTATCTATAAAAAAAGGGGGCCAGTTTAGCTCAAACAATCACAAAAGTGCTTTTCTACTATCAACATTTACTTTGGTGAGCAGCAGAAATGCTGTATGCGTATTTCTGTCTTGGTCATACAGAGAAAGAAATGTTTAAACATGCTTTCAAGGGTGTAGACTTAATAAAATTAGTAACTTTTACTGCCCCATCAAGGACAATCAAGTAAAAACTTGCATTTTAAAAGTTATTCTAGTAAATGCTTGCTGGTGAAAATGTAAGAACAACTACACAGCTTGGTGCCTTTATCTGTGCTGAGGCACCAGCAGTTCTGCTCACTGTTGCTTTTGCATCATCACTGCGAATGTCAACACAATGAAAAAGGCACATAACATTTTTTGTTATTGTGAAAGAGTTTGACCTTACACTCTGAAAGATCTTAGGGATGTCAGAGGGTCTGTGCACCACACTTGTAAAACTTGTTTTAATCTAATCTGTAATGCTTTTTGGAGTGTTCAAAGGATCACACATTATTTAATTACTGAAAAGTTTCTGAAATAAATTATCAGTAATAAAGATGGTCAAATAAACTATGATACATCTCATAACCATTAAAATTTATGTTTTCATTTTCTTGTTTACACTTTTACATAAAACCCAAATTTTCTTTAATGAACATACATTATTATTTTAATCAGGAGAAAATATATGATTCTAGAGATATCATTAGCCAAATGTAGACTCTGTGTGAAGTGATTTATGTAAGAAATGACACTAATGTTTAGGAAGCACTTATTCGGAAAAGCTCATTGTGCTGTGTATTTCACGCATTTTATTTCATTCAAGCCTCACCATTATTCTATTAGGACCATAGATGCTATCTGTGGTCAACTCTTCAGAATTTCAATGACAGCTCATGCAAAATATTAAAAATAAGAGTTTAAGATTGCCTCTGAGAGCTAAAGTTAATATAATGAATCAGAAAGAAAATATGAAAAGTTCCCTGGAAGTGACAGACTGGCATCTGGGCCCACCAGGCCAGGTATCCTGTCATAGCTGAAAGAATGAACAGAATTGGTAGGTTAGGGGAGGGCGAAGAAACAGGGATCACAGATGTAAGTATGGGCCACATTCAATCCAAGGGCCTTAGCCAAGGCACTTACAATTTCTAGTGTCATTGGCTTTCCTAGGTTCCCAAACTTTTATTAGCCGACCACAGATGGGGTGACCAGGAGCATCCATTCTGGAGATGGTTGCATTGGGACGTCTCAAACTGTACCAGTCAGTGCTGGGGTCCTCCAATTCCCCTTGTTCTGAATCCTGAGGACACATCAGATTATGACCTGCTTTCTGTGAAAGTCTACTGATAGTAAGAAAATGACTACCCTTGCAGACAGCAGCATTCTGGTCCCAGTAGAACTCCATTACTCTGTATGAATGAATCCATAGTCATTCTGATTTGTACATACAATTGATTCTCATTATTCACAAGAGTCTTGTTGTGTAGTCTCCTGGAACACTGAATTAGCAAATGTTAAACCATTGGTCCTAGAAGAGACACAAGGTTAGGTTCCTGTGAGCCTCTGGTCATGTTTTCGGCAACTGATCAATATATAATTTTGTTTACTGTGTATAACACCCTATCTATACTAATAAAAGGGTAATATGCTAATTAGAGCAGATGTCTTCCAGACATCCTTCCAGACAAAGCCAAAGTGGCTGCCTGAGGCTCAGGCAAGCCACAGATGGCGGCTGCCACTGCCAGGGCCAGCCCGAGGCTCAGGCAACCCACAGTGGCTGTGAGGGCTGAGGCTCAGGCAGCTGCAGTGACCAGCATTGGCAGCAGCAGATTTGTGATGGCGCATCGCCTTCCCCTGATCAGCCTGTTCACTTACCGCAGAGGGAGGCCAGAGGTAGCAGCAGCAAGGGGGTGATGGGTGTGGTGCCTTCCCCTAATCTGCCGTCTGGTCGCCTCCCGCAGAGGGAGGCCAGACTGTGGCTTAGGACATCCCCTGAGGGCTCCCGGACTGTGAGAGGGGGCAGGCCAGGCTGAGGGACCCCCTCCTTCAGTGCACAAATTTTCATGCACCAGGCCTCTAGTTTAATAGATATTACTGATTCATTAACATTGAATTCACAGCCAACAACTGCTATAACTCATGCTAGAGCAAAGCATATCTAATACACTTACGTTCTCCATAAGGCACGTCACACCCTTGTGCACTTAGGAACACTAGAGAGCCCTTCAGCACCACATTTGAGGGCCCTTCTAAACAGCAAAATCACCAATGAAAAGCACAAGAATGCAAAAGACATGGCACCAAATAGACCATGGAAAGGACACCTGTTTATGGCATGAAAGCTAAAGCAAGAAGACAAAGTCTTGTTTGACCTCAGTTGGGAACATGTGTACCAGGTGATTCAATTATTTGGCCACTCTGTGCATTCACATGAATGACTGAGAAAGTACTGAGAGTATTGATTTGGGAGTTACAAAGAAATTTTAGCAAGTAGGTGAGTTTGCAGATATGGAATTATGAATGATGAGGATTGGCTGTATACCTCAGACAGATGAACTTGGTGAACAGGAGCCTGACCCTACAAGATGTACTAGCTCTATCTGTGTTGACAAGATAGGCTTCTGAACCTGCAAAGCTGCTCTTATAAGAGTCAACCAGCTCTCCCCAGACAGCACACCACAACCTCACTGGGAGCTATACCTTTTGTCTCTACTACACCAGTGTTTCTCAAGCTTTAGAATAACACAGATTTCTGAGCCCACCCCTAACATATCTAACTCAGTAGGTCAGGAATAGTACCACAGATTTTACACTTATGACAGGTGATAATCATGCTACTGGTCCAGGGGCCTCACTTTAAGAATGTTTGCTCTGTACTATTATCTCCATTCTATAAATGAAAACCTACAACTCAGACTGCTGAGTAACTTGCCCCAGGTCTTATGCACAGTTACTAACTGGCTTTCTGAATAAGATGTGGCTGAATTTATGATTAGCTTTTTCTGTTCTACTGTAATATTTTGGGGCAGATATCCTAACATGACATTTTCCCATATGTAAACTGTATTAAGTGGTGGTTTTATTTCTAGGTTGGTCCAGAACAGTCTGTTCGGTCATAGTAGAGTTGGGATCTAGAACCAAGAGCCCTGCTCTGGTTTTTGGGACATTGGCAGCAGGGCTGGGAGTGCAGGAGGGAGTAGAGGAGGAAGAAGAAAGGTTTAACTCTCAGCCCTGCTACAGGGTGATTCATACCTGTCATTGAGTATGAGTCACCCTGTAGTAAGGCTGAGAATTGAGAGGCAATAGGAGATAATGATTACACACACACACACACACACACACAGGAGTGGAGAGTTTAATCACCTGATTACCTATTATCTGAGCTTGAGCCAGTGTAAGGTACAGTGATCTCTAAGTGTTAGATAATATGGTTAATTTGGAAGGGGTGGGTGGGAAATGATAACAACAACCTTAGCAGAGAGACTCATAGCCAAGTTATAGTCAGGCTCTTCAGAAAAATTCATTATCATGTAAGAAAATGTTGCCAGACTATTAGGTCTATAACTTGTGTGTTATCTCATATTTCATCAAGAATCTTTTCACATTTTGCTTTTGTAGTAGTATTCCATACTTCTGCTTACCTACTTTTGGATTCAAGCACATTTTGCCATTGACAAATGATGCTGAAAAATTCAATGAAATTGTGAAGAATCAGAAAATTTCTGCTAATATTGACACACCTGAGGGTGGATTTGATGCAATTATGCAAGCTGCTGTGTGTAAGGTATGAGGGAAAGTGTGTTTTACTCTGATAATACAAATTTCATCTCTTATTAACACATCTGCTTTGAAACGCTTGGCTAACTTAATCTTTACTTTAATTGCCATATTTCTACATTTGATATTTTTATTAAAACAGAATCTCTGTAAAATCTTTAATTCAATCATGTTACAATGGGACAGTTTTATGCCTAATATTTTGGTATCCTAATAAAATTATAGATGTCTTGGGGAAATTTTACTATAAGTCATGTGTGATTAATTTTCAAAAATTTAAATCAGATTAATTAGTTTTTTAGTTAATCATGGTAAAAAATCAAAGGTAGAAGTCATTTAAAAAGTAAAGATGACCTGAATCAGTATAAATCTCTACATATGAATAGGTATCTATTGTTTTGAAGTAACAAAATAAGCATTCAAAACCACACGGTCTCTACAACAGTGCAGGAACATCACTTGTCCTTGACAGTCAGCAACATATCCATAGGAATCATTCCCCTGTCTTCAGGTGACAGCTCTTTGTGGAAAATATCAGGAAATGGACAGGCTGAAGCTCCTAGAAGGTGGGAGAATTAGGGAATTAGGGAAGAAAGGAAAGGAGAAGGAGAAGGAGAAGGAGAAGGAGAAGGAGAAGGAGAAGGAGAAGGAGAAGGAGAAGGAGAAGGAGAAGGAGAAGGAGAAGGAGAAGGAGAAGGAGAAGGAGAAGGAGAAGGAGAAGGAGAAGGAGAAGGAGAAGGAGAAGGAGAAGGAGAAGGAGAAGGAGAAGGAGAAGGAGAAGGAGAAGGAGAAGGAGAAGGAGAAGGAGAAGGAGAAGGAGAAGGAGAAGGAGAAGGAGAAGGAGAAGGAGAAGGAGAAGGAGAAGGAGAAGGAGAAGGAGAAGGAGAAGGAGAAGGAGAAGGAGAAGGAGAAGGAGAAGGAGAAGGAGAAGGAGAAGGAGGGATGGTGCAGCCAGGATGAGCTTTTGCCCAATTAGTTCCAGGACTACTGTTAACTGAAGGGGAGAGCTCTGCTAAGAAACAGCCAATAGACCATTTTAACTGGCAGTACCTTGAGGCAATACTTTGATAAGCAATTCTAATCCTTCTATTATGTTTATAATTTTTGGACGATACAGTAGAGACATATGTGCTTAAATGTTGGGTGACAGTTGAATAAAACAGGCTTACTCAGGTTCCATTTTGTGCTGCATTCCGCCTAGTTTGGCTTCATCTTGGATTTGGGATAATCTGTGACCTTCCTCCCCTTATTTTTCTGGTACATTGAAAATGGACAGTAAAAATAACCATGTAAAAGTTGGGATCAACTGAATATTGATTGTAGTGGAACTATTTTTTTCTGAAGCATAGATCATCTGAAAATGCTAGAAAGAAACAAACATCACAAAAATTTTGTGTTTTTAATACATTAATATTATCAACTCATAATAGATGAAAACAGCTAAAATAGACCAGCAATACAATTTTTATATTCTGAATGTGTCCAATCATAATTGATTCACTCTCGATAAATGCTTGCCTCTATCCAATGCAATCCAAATGTTTCTCTCTCAATGCAGGAAAAAATCGGCTGGCGGAATGACTCCCTCCATCTTCTGGTCTTTGTGAGCGACGCCGATTCTCATTTTGGAATGGACAGCAAATTGGCAGGCATCGTCATTCCTAACGATGGGCTCTGTCACCTGGACAGCAAGAATGAATACTCCATGTCAACTGTCTTGGTGTGTAATCTGCACTCTACACTGTTTTCAGGGATATTAGAAAGCAAATGAAGCAATAATGGCTGTAGGACATAGGATAACCCACACTTGGTGCACACAGTACATTTCCTGATTTGAGATGAATAGATTTCCCTGTCTCAATCCTCACCACCCACAGGGGTTCCCACAGGAGTACAGGTGGGTGGTGGGATTATGTGAGAAGTTTGGATCTGCTATATCCCAGATGACTCCAGAACCTCCCAATTTTTCAAAGAGCCAGAGGCCAGCAACACAGTCAGTTCATTCTGTTCCCAACCACAGCCCCAGAAAGGGGGGCTCAGACCAAAACAGTCATCCCCTAGGAGTTACTGTGAATGATGGGCCCAGTGCATGCTCCTTAAATAAGGCCATGCTTTCCCAGACCAGGGCTCTATGGGAACAATTAGTCAAGTACTGCTTGCTCGGTGCGTATTCACATTTGGCGTATTTTTTGTCATTTAAAAAATGCTGGTGACATGCAAGGAAAAAAAATACTTGACTTTTGTAAAACAAAGTAAAATTTTCAGAGTTCCTTCAATGTACATTATCTCATTCAATTCTCACCAGAGTCCTATGTATGTAACTGCTTTCTTTGAACAGACCATAAAGCTGCCATGTGTGTGCGTATGCTATTCCCTCTGTCTCGAATGCTCTTCCATCTTAGGCTGCTGAGAAACTTAATTATTCTTAAAACCCAGATTGATCATGGCTGCTCCAGGGGGCCCTTTTTTACCTCTGCTGGGCCAGGTAGTGATCGCCTCTCCCTTGCTCCCATACCTAGATGTCTTCTTGCCCATCACTATGTGGAAATGTGTTTGCTCATGTCTGTCTCTGTTTATTTAATGTGTGCTCCTCAGGGCCAGGAGTGCCTGGAACGCAGTGGGTGCTGACTAAGAAATAGAATTGAATTATGAAGCAACAACCTGAGAAAGTTATATTATCCCCACTTACTAGTAATATCTGGAAAAATATGCTACAGAGAATTTAAGTGACTTCTTAAAATGACAATGCTGTAGACCTGTATGGAGTAGAGAGAAAGAGAAAGAGAAAAAAGTTAAAGATAAAGATGAAGATGAAGAGAAAGAGAAAGAATGAGAAAGAGAAAGAATGAGAATGAGAAAGAGAAAGAGAATGACAAAGAGAAAGAGAAAGGGGAAGAGAAAGAGAGAGAGAAAGAGAGAGAGAGAAAGAGAAAGAGAAAGAATGAGAAAGAGAAAGAATGAGAAAGAGAAAGAAAAAGAGGAAGAATTCTAATTTCAGATTGAAAAACACTATTCTCCAAAAAAAGAATTCAGTGAGATAATGCATATAAATGCTTAATACGGTGCTGCCAATTAATTTTTAAAAATCTAATGGTTCACAAATATCTGCTACCATTTCTTGCCTAAATTTCTAAACTTCAACATGAATATTTTCTCCTAATTTTTGATCAATAGTATTCCCCACACTTATATGTTCTTTAATCATATAAACTGCCTTTCCATATTACAAGGTCAATGAGGGCAGCCACATTTTGTCTTTTAGCCAACAAGGAGCAAGAAATTGTGAGAGTGAGTCCGCTCCTCCCCACACCCCATTTTTGCAATTATTGAAATCTCCCTAATAGAATCTTGGAAAAAGTAGGACCATAGAAGCAAACATTACCTGTTGCTTAATATGACCTTCTCATCTAATAAATATTCAATTAATTCTTGCTGAGTTTCTACAAATGCACAGAAGCCATGAACTATTTCTGTGTCTGCCTGTAACATAGCTCCCTGCACCCTTTGAGCACTTCCTATGCACACAACACTGGGCCAGGCTCCAGGAGCCATAAAGTAATAAGACATGGTCCCTGGCTTTGAGGAACTTACAAGATAATTGTGTGGGAACTAAGCCAATTGATGTGGATCAAATGGAAAATCATGTTTGCACACCCAGGAGGGGCTACATGGTATGATTCTGACTACACATGCACAGAATTTGAAAGGTTTGAGAACACGTGGAGATAAGGAGGGGTCATCACTGAAGAAATTCATGCTTCAGGGTTTGGGCAGTTGAACAGCCAAGGAGACTGAAAATGTCAGACCCAGGAAGATTTATATTATCTGGATTTTATCAATATCTACTAATAAAAATCCAAATGGTGTGGAAAGCATGTATTACACAGCCAGATTTGCCGTGGGGTCATTTACCTAAAGTGCTGAGGACATGTGAACACACCACACCAGTATACAGTGTCTCTCCACTTTGGCTGACTTCAGAACCATCGACAAATTCTTAATTTAATTGTTTGCAGACTACTCTTTCACGTGCATTTCCTCTTTCTCCATGATCCACATTTGGATTCATATACTGTAAGAGGCAACTGTGCTGTGTGTTCTTCAGCCTTGGAAAATAGTGGCCATCTTCAGATCTGATAACAAACAGCTTCTTTACTTTTTAAAGTATCCTATCACTTGGGAATGATGTGCAATGTGTTTTCAACTGTCCTGTAAAAATATAGCAGGGTCCCCTAAAACTAATTAGTGGCATCAAAAGGCAATAAGACCAAACCCAGGAACTGGTATAGGAATGTCTCAAATCTGACAGACGTGGGAGTTGTTGTGTGCCATTCCTCAGCCTCAGCCCACTTCATGCGATTGCAGGGCCAGTTTCAGAGCTATAAGAGCCACCTAGTCCCGACCTTCATAGACTAACTACCTCTCTCCCCTCTAACATTCCCTCTAACTGGAGACTGCTGGCAAGTGGTTCTTAGAAGAGAAAATGTGAAAATATGGCCTACTCCTCATTGTTAAATACATTTCAAATGATCTCCCTTAGAAGTAACAGACCATAAATACACCATAGTCACTGACAGGCACTGATTTAGGAATTCACTGGATTTACAAGATTTAGGAAATGATTATTAAACAAATTAACTAAATAATGCTAATTGTGTATTTGTTTACTTAGAGTGACAGATACAATAATGCCTACGAGCATTGAAATGTCAAACTCATTAAGATACCTGAAAGAAACGGTCTTTTCTTTATTTTGCATGTTTTTCTTAGGATGATACTTAAAATCTATATATTAATTTTAGGAATATCCAACAATTGGACAACTCATTGACAAACTGGTGCAAAATAACGTGTTACTGATCTTTGCCGTAACCCAAGAACAAGTACATTTATATGAGGTAAGCAAACAACGCAGGAGATTCTTTCAGGGGCACTATTCAACATGAAACTTTAACATCAACCCTATGAATTGAACACAGGGGATGCCATTAGAAAGTCATTAACACATGCCAACTAAACTGGACACTTGGCAAAGTGGACTCAGTTACTGTTTGCAATTTAAATTATAAATACGGCAGTGCAGAGAGGAGTGGGGGACAGAGCTATGGTGAAACAAGGAAGAAAGAGTCGTGGAAATGAAAAATGTAAGTGAAAGAGAGGACCAATAAGCATGGGACCACCTACCTAATGAAAAATTAGTCTGTCTTTCCTTGAACTACTTCACCTGATAAGGAAGGAATCAACAGAAAGCAGAGAAAATTATGAGAATGGGAGGAGAATTGACTTTAAATTCTCTGAGATTTGCAAATTAGACACATAAAAATATATGTAAGTAGAGACACAATTCAAGCTTTTGAGGAGTGAAAGTTGAAAGAAAAAGTTGTTAAATTGGGCCAAAATGTTATTTCCCCCTTAAAGCAGCTGGTCTGCAGTTCAAGTTTTGGGATGGAAGCACCACCCACATACAGACAGAGAATGGTTTCATTAGATGAAATAATGTTTGGAAACCAATGCATAAACTATAAAATGCTTGTGCAAAATCAAAAGATTTCTGTGGTGTCTTTTCAGCCTAAGGAGAACAATGTGCCAACATGTTATGAAATGGGAGACTAGCAAATGATCTATTCCTAATGAGCAATGCCACAGGGAAGTAGTGAGTCTGCAGCCTGGGCCCTGGAAAATGCAGAGGAAATAGGTGTACATTAAATTGTTTCTGACTTCTATGCGGAAGCTTCAAACACGCCTAAATTCAGAGTCTGATCTCCCATTCTGTTTGAAAGGGCCTCTTAACAAGCTTGGTGACTTAACAGGGCTCAGGAAACTCTGAGATTATTTCACAGAGGCTTTGATTAAATGCCACTCACTGCTAAGGACCGCGCAGCCCATGAACTTGCATCAGGTTCTGTAGAAAGGGTTCAGGAGGAGATTCTATCTTGCATTTTTAATGAGAGGAGGATATTGTACTCCAGGTGAGATTGCCTTCTGCTGAAAACCAAGGAAGTCCCCTGCAATCAAGCTGCATACCCAATGCCTTTGTTCTCAGAGACCACGTGGGTTCACCTGATCTGGGCATTTTCTTAGGGCTCTTTAGTATGTGATACTTGTTGCCAATGGTTTTAAGTAGTAGAGCTGCAATACACAAATACAATAGTGAGTCTATTCTGCCTTTGATCCTTAAGGCTAGCATGAGAGGACCCTGGGGGTCTCAACACCTCCTCCACACCAGGGCTCCTGTTTAGAAGTGAGAGGAGGGGTTGCAAAAAAAAAAAGAACTTTTCTTAAAAGGAGAGTCAGGGAAACACGACTGATGATCATGAACATGAACACCCATAACTCATGTTGGTAATAGTCTTTAAAACTCACAATTCATTTATACAGCTCCTCAAAACTGCTATTAAAAAGACAGAGGAAGGTGGAAAATAATTATATGGCAAAACAGAACCTGTCGGGTTTAAGCTAGTTGCATCCTCCGTCCTCCCGTTGCAAAGAAAATGATCATTTCCATGGAAAACACCAGATTAGAGCCTGCCTCTAATGTAACAGCAGGACATTTATTTTGACTGCCTGCTAATGTCATTATGAGACGAATTTATGTTCTGTCAGGATCTGTGGTCTTTACCATCCAGGTTCTGCTAAATTCAAAGGGACATTTTCAGGGAGCCATGCAGGGGACCAGGTCAGCAGTCCACTCTGTGACTCCAGTCCTTTCGTGATTTTATTTTAATTTTATTGGACTCGCCATTCCATTTGCATCAGTGGGGCAGGCGGCAGCCTGGTCTGAAGATAATGACAGCATCATTGCACTTCCCTGAAGGCTTCACACAGCATGAAAATGCTGATGTCTTGTTTTATTGATAATGAAAACTGAAAATAGACCAATAATGGCCTGTGTTGCTTTTCTATTTAAATCTCTTAGATTTAAATGTGTACAGGAAACCCTGTGCAACCTTGATGTTTGGATAGCTGTAATAGAAGGAACATAACTACCAAAGAATAACTGAAAAATAAAACCAGCGCTAGGATTAATAAAGCCACTAAGTGGTTGAATCTAATGGAAATTCCAGAGGACAGATTGCTTGCCCCAGTGCTGTGTTAAGCATAATTATGTGATACACCCCTGGCAGGGGATGGGCCAGGTTCAATGACATCCTGTCTTGCAGCAAATAAGACTTACGTTGCCCATTCATAGGATGCAGGGAAAAACGACTATTTTTTCGGTAATTTTGGTAAGATGCTTTGGACTGCCCAGGTGTGTAGTGTTGCTGCACTTTGTGGTAACAGCGATGAACAAACAATGGAAAGGAGGGAGTAAGCAGTTTCACCTCAGTTCAATATGACTGCAATGTGCACCCCCAGACTCCAGCAAACAGATGATTTTGAACAAACTGATTATTATGAATAGTTTCCTCTTTGTCCAATTACAGGGTTCAAAAGATAATGATAGATAATAGACTGAGCAGTAGGTAGTATATTATATTCTAGTGCTAAATACCATTTTGATGCAGGGTTTAATTATCCAAGCTTAAAAAAAAATGTCTTAACCTCCTCTGTTGTTTTCAAATGTTTACTATTAATTTACATTAGGATAGTATCAGGCTACTAAACCCCAACTATCTAATTTTATCAGTCTTTCCTTTCTAGTGAAATACTGAGTTAAAAAGCAATTAAATCGGTGTTCTGTACTACATTGTAAAATCATATTATTAATCACCTGGCATTATTTTCAAGGTTTTAAAATAGCCTATATCTTTCAAAATGTCTACATCTGCCTGGAAAGTGTGAGTGTTGTGAAGTTAATAACAATAATTATTATATGACCTGGTATTTATGATGCAATGTTGAAACACAGCACCTGGGAAGTAAACAAGATGTATTGGCAATAGACACATCCAGTTTAGTCAGTAACACCTATGATCACTAATTGACGTCCCCATGGTTATCAGGACAGAGTGATGTGTCTAAAGCATGGGGACAGGGGACCCAAGCAGGTTTTTATACCACCGCAGGACCCTTCTCTCTGGAGGAAAAAAGCCCTCGATTATTAGCTCTTTAAGGAGAAAGCTGAGTCTTGCTCAACTCTCTGTTTAGGCCAATTCTCCATATACAGTAGATTCTCAGTATTTGTTGAGTGAATTCTTTAAAAATTGCAATGCAAGCACCTTATCTTTTCCCAAATGGAGTGAAAGTTTCTAAATAAGAACTTGGAGTGTTGGGTGACAAATACCTGTCACGGTTGAGGGAGCCCACGTACAGGAGCAGTGGGGGTGCCTGACCCTTGCTACTGCCATCCCTGCAGCCTGGGTTACCCCATCGCCCTCCCCTTCCACTTTGACCCAGAGGCACCAGAGAGGAAAGAAGTACTTTGCCATCAGTCTTAGTACCAAACTGTTGGAAAAGCTCCAGAGCCTCCTTACAAGGCCATGAAAGGAAACCCCTGAGCAATTGCCCTCTTGACGGTCGTCATATCCAAAAAAAAAGCATGAAGAGTAGCCACAATATGCTCTGAGCCTGATGTTCTCTTGTAGCTTGTGAAATGTATCGACCATATATGAGTCTCAATTTTTCAGGAATCAATAACCCAGTTTTTATATCACCCCTTCTTTCTTCTTTTTGTTTATCTTTTGAGCTTTTCACGGTAGCAAGAGAGTTGAAAAGTGAAAGAGAAATTAGGAAGGAAGGTAAAACAAAAATTGGATCCTTTTGCTATTTGTTAGCTGTTTTGTTATTGTTTTGTTTTAGAATATTCACTGTTGGGAAAGATCAAAACAATTTTGATGGGATGAAAATCCCTTTATTTCTGGCCTCAGTTTTTACAAAACACACACACACACACACACACACACAACCTCCAGCTTTAATAGTCAGTGACTCAGCCTGGAGGGTGGGAATCATGAAGGATTCCAATGATCTTTGCTCAGATAAAATATATTTAGCTGTGAGATAGCTAATTTTCGAACATGATCTAGAAAGTTGTTCTTTATCCTATCAATCCCATCCTATAATTGGGGATTCCAAATTTATAGGCTTTTAGAAAAAATAAAATCATCTAAGAATATAGAGAAAATGTGTGGATTATGAGAAATATCCATGGAGTTAATATTTTTTTTAATTCAGGTGTAATGAAAAGGATTCTGATTTCTCTCTCTAATTGAGGTTCTGGGAACAAAGGCTGAGGAGAGCCAGCTGCCTACACTTTCATCATTAATAAAACCTCTCTTGGAGAGGGAGGATTCAGAAATAAAACTCATCCTCAGATTATCAAGGCAAAGTTGTTAGAAATATTTTCTAGTCTGATTAATACATCGCAATCATGAAAGTCATCAGTTGCTATCTCATAGAGTCCATATAGTACTTTTCTTCTAAAGAACTCAAAGGCTTGTAATCCAGACGATAAACAAAACAAAAAAGATACAGATTTAAAGTAGGGTCTTCATGAGATGCCTATTAAGCCAACCCATGTAGAACTATTACATGGGATTGCATCAATACAAGCCCTAACATATTTCAAGATTTACACAACACCCAGAATGTCTAGCATATGATTTAAAACCAAGACATTATTGATTGCATTCATTCATTTATTCATCCATTCATCAAACATTTCATGAGCTCCTCCAAAGAACCAGGGTGTCTGGCTATAAAGGAGAATGAGACACAGTGCCTGCCTCAGTAAGTCTCATAGAGCATGAGCAGACTTGTAGGTCAATCAATTGTCTAAAGAATAAGATAAGGGCATTTCAGAAGTTGCGTTCTGGAAAGAGACCCCAAGGCAGAGCGTTTGCTGAGGAGCCAGAGCTTTCATATCTGTCAATATTTTTACTCTTTTCTATTTGTTAGAAGGGGCTGCAAATTAATTGGCAATCATAAGCTACCCTTGATGCTATCAGTACCAAAGTGT